TACGAAACCAGAGGGCAGCACAGGATGCAATCGCACGACTCTGCCTGACCCTGCCTGTAAGCAATCTCCCAACTCATATCTGCAAGTAAATGTCGCGTTGAAAAGAGAGTCGCCAATCTAATAATAGGTATTGTAATCATTGGTTGTTACCTTCTGTAGTTAACCTTAAACATTATCTGGTCTTTAATTTTTATAGGTTGGACCAATACGGATTTATAATGTCTAAGACACGACTCGACCAAAAAAAAGTGGTAAACGATCCCATTGTTAATAATTGGATGTGTTTAATTTACCACGAACTTCAGCATTATACGTAAAATACCAACCTGTCTGTTGTTTCTCATAGTAATGTAAATGTGTTTCTTTTGACAGAATTCTGAATTATTTACATTAACGTATGGAGCCTTAGTGGCACAGTTACTAAAGGATTATGAAAATGTCGAAGATGTGAATAAACAACTAGAAAGAATGGGATACAACATGGGGATTAGGTTAATCGAGGACTTTTTGGCTCGCACAGGTTGTGGAAGATGCTACGATTTTAAAGATACAGCAGAAAAAATTCAAATGGGCTTCAAAATATTTTTGGGGATTACACCAACTATTACAAATTGGAGTCCAGCCGGAGATGAGTTCTCCTTATGTTTCGAAGTTAATCCACTGACCGAATTTGTTGAGCTTCCAGATCATTGTCTCAACTTGAAATATTGTAACATTTTGACTGGAGTTTTAAGAGGTGCTTGTGAAATGGTACAGATGGAAATTGCTTGCTGGTTTGTGCAAGATCAACTTAAAAATGACAGTACAACAGAACTAAGAGTGAAATTTATCAAAAGGTTAGAAGATGCTATTCCAGCAGGTGATGATTAAGGCATTTTTCAACTCGGAGTTACAAGTTCTAATACAAGATGGCAGAATTGAAACAGTATAATTATAAATTAATGAATTTGAGGAAGTAATATAAATTTTATTAAATCAGAACTACAGAAATACTTAAAAACCACTGTCTTTGTTTAATAATAAAGTACAAGACAATTACTTTACAAATACATCATTTATTTAAAAAGATAAGAATTTGAGAAAATGTATATTGATAGTATATGTATTTAAAGTACATATATTGTATAAAATGCACTTAGAATAAATTTTTCCTGTAATTATGAAATATTTCTTATTCTAAAAAACATGGTCATCATTTTTGCATTGTTAAAGTAGAATAGAGTATAAAGTGTTCTTCCTACTCTACTATGGGAATAATTTTCAAACTTTAAGTATACAGAAATGAAGACAGCAGTATATCGTACATTAATGAATTAGAACCCAATCCGCGGTTTATATTACAGAAAATGCAGTATTACATCCGTATATATGAAAGATCCTGCCTTCATGATATTACACTGCTTATCAAATGCGAAAAAAATTAATAAGTTTCTATTGATCAAATTTTATTTGAATAGAAGGTTACTAAAATATAAATAACAGCAGTTGGCAGTTTAATGATGGAACATCTGTTGTAAAGAAAAGTATATATCACTTACAATACAGCATATAGTACAATAGGGCAATGATCGCTGCCATACACTTTATCTCTCATGACATTATCACAAATTTTATTCTTTATTCTTTCCGAAACCAAGAAGTAATCCAATCTCCTATTAAAAAAGAAATGACAGAATACAAATAAACGTAATTTAAACTTTAATTTTCATAAAATTACTTACCATCCAATATTCTTACTACGTGCATTAGCAAAGTAAGACCAGAAAGTATAAGCTCCTGTTTTATCTGGATATAGATGCCTGAACGTGTCAACAAATCCAGCTTCTAAAAAGAGTGTCATGCCATCTCGTTCTTCTTTAGTAAAACCAGCATTTTTTGTATTAGTCTTCGGATTTGTTAAATCTGTAGATAAGTAGACATTTTATTGTAAACACTGAACATGTTATCACTTTTGTAATTTTCTATTTCATGAATTAAAAATTGACCTCAAATCATAAGACATTCTATGCACATGCAATACTTGTGTGGAAAAAAATGCCACAGTTGGTGCCACGTCACAACAATTATTAAAGGTTGGCCGGTATTAAGTCTATTTAATTTACTGTTTATACGAACCTATTTCTTGGTGGGCAACGTTCATATCACCGCATATAATAACAGGTTTTATGCTATCTAATTCCAAAATAAATTTTGCGAAGTCATCATTCCACTGCAGTTTTTTTGGCAATGTTACCAACTTTTGTCCAGCATTGGGAACATCTAAAAATATTCACATAAAACATGTACTTGGTTCTTGTTTTATTTTATTATATCACAGTCGAAGATAATGGAAATATATATGTTTTTCATAACTTATGAAAAACGCTTCACTCATATTCCATGCATTCTATGTAGCATATTTTTATCTACAGAAAATGTTTATGAAAAAAGGTAACACGGTAAAGGTACATACAAACGTTAACGACAAAATAGTCTTCATATTCAGCTGTAATTATCCTTCCTTCATCATTACAATTAGAACCAGGTATTCCATACTTTACATCCTTTGGTTCTTTCTTTGTAAATAATGCAACTCCACAATAGCCAGGCTTTTTACCTATATTAAATGTAAATTATATATGTATTAATATCAATATTAATTATATCAGAAATTCGTTGTGCCGCCCTTGGGGGCAAAAAACGGTGAAAGCTAACGTACGAAACCAGAGGGCAGCACAGGATGCAATCGCACGACTCTGCCCGNGTATTTGAAATTATGTATACCTTATCTAGAAAGAACATGCAAATTATTGGAATTTTGAATATGTGGTCATGAATAAATTGATAACTGTGCCATAAATTTATGACTCATATGCTATCTCATGTATGAAATGATAAAAAAGAACATTTTTTTTCACATGCATTTAAATAGCAATTGCAATAAATAATTGATAAGATGTATTGAAATTTTTCAAAAATTGAATATTGGACTACTTCAATGTATGGAACTTATAATTAACCCGAAATATTATAACTGTATTTATAAAAGTAATTACTTGTAAAAAGCATTAAGTTCATCGTCAATAAGTCGTAATTTCTCAGAATGAGACATTTCATGAGGTTCTTTTGTATAAGCCTTTCGTGGAGGTTTTACACATTTGCTACCAGACATTTTTCACTGGAATGTTATGCACGATTTTGATGCAACAGTATTCTCTTTAACAATATAGGAAATACAAATACTTTTTATAAGAAAACCGCACTGAAGAAAACGATATGAGTAAACCCGACAATCTCGAACAGCGTATTAAGCAAACCTTTCCTGAGTATGCGCGACCCGCAAGGAATTTTGCACGGTATCGATTTATCCCGCCACTGCTGTGATATGAACCCAAAGTGAAAATAACAAAGAAAGTAAACCCATACATTAATCTCGTGGATGTAAGAATATAAAACACGAAGCCCAAGCTAGGGAGCGAGTATCGGAGTAAGTAAAGAGGGAAGACGTAAGAACAGAGATGAGCAGGGAAATGTTTCACCCCATTGTTTGAAAGTTATAACTTCATTCTATCAATACTGTGCTGTATTTGAAATCTGCAGACTCGTTTTTCTTTACCGATAGAGAACATTTCGCTCTATTAAAAGCAGTTCCACGGCGCTGGTGAGCCGTGCCTCACTTTCGACAATGACGACCTCCGCGCTCATCGCGCTCATCTCTGCTGGTAGGAATAATGAGAATGTCGCCATATTGAAGGCCAAAATCTTAGCTTCCTCTGATTGACTAAGATTTAGTTGTCACTTTAAGAGTAGCGAGTAAAGAACGATGCGAAATGTGAACAGATTTACAGTGAATGAAGTATGTACATATGTACATACATACACTGACATTCATTAGTGGTCCACACAGACCTACTGCCGTCTCCGGCCGAGCGGCGTACTAGCGGCGGGAGCAGCGCGGAATTTGAATCACCCAAAGGGCAGAATGGATTTCCTAAAGGTGTAGAACGTAGATATATAAGAGACATGAAATCATGATTCCGCTTCTATGTCCGAAATTGGATGCATTGTAAATTTTCATACGGCATTTCACTATAAAAATATTAATAAACTATTTTTTTTATGCTAAGATAATATTCTAACTTCATTTCAGCGGATGTACAATTGAATCGTTGAGAAACTTGTTAACTTTCAATAAATCACGTTTTAATATATTTTTTTTTAAATTCTGTAAAGAATCATTTAACAAAAACGACGTTACGTGGGTCAGGGACACTTCACAATAATATGAATATAATTATCATTAATTGTATTTGTTTATAAAAATTTTTTATCTTTAGGAAATCCATTCTGCCTCTTGGGTAATTTAAATTGCGCGCTGCTCCCGCCGCTAGTACTCTGATCGGCCGGAGAAGGCAGTAGATCCGGAAGGAAATCATCGATGAATGCCGGTGTAGTACAAACTCAGGTACATACAAATAAACAGAGATGAGCAGAGATGAGTTGGGAGATTGCTCACGTGCAGGATTATGCGATCGTATCCTGTGCTGCCCTCTGGTATCGTACGTTAGCTTTCACCGTTTTTTGCCCCCAAGGGCGGCGCAACGAATTTCTGATAGGAGCTCGCGCACTCACGATGGCGGTACCATCTACTAGTCGCCGTTGGCGGCTCACGTATTCGTGATGGTAATACCATGCGGTAGTTGACGGTGGTGGCTTACCTACACTTATCGACACTGCTCGCTTTTGATGGTAAGGGAAAAACACTCATGACGCTCCACTTGACTTTATCTACTTATCTACTACTGTTAAGTACATTGTTGCCTCGAAATCGACGTGATACGAAGTTTTGGGGCACGCGTGGATGTCACGTCGGAACTCGCATGCAGCGAATCTGTACGAGTGCGATCGTTCCTAGAAATCTTCGCGCGTCCAAACCAGCCAAGCGCCAAGCTACGGGGCATGGCGTTGAGGATGAGTGCTTTCGGCGTTACACTCATAACGAGTATACGTGAGAGCCGAATGCAGCGAAAAATCGTCCCTAGCCGCGGATATAAGCCGAGCCATTTCGCGTATGATTTTTACATTTACCTACTAGCATTATCGAGCGTTCTTCGACCGTTTCAGAGCGTTCTCGACCGTTATCGACCATTTTTCGAGTGTTTTTGAGCGTTATCGAGTGCCGTAGAGTCCCGTAGAGACCCGTAGTGTCCCGTAGTGTCCCGTAGAGTCCCGTAGT